GATAACCTCTGTCTGCTCTCCCCAGGTGCAAAGATGGGGTGCTTCACCTTTATCAAGGTCATGATGATCCTCTTCAACCTGGCCATATTTGTAAGTGCACCCCGGCTGCTGTCTCTGCCCGGGGGGCCCGAGCCTGGCAGCCCCCTCGTCTGCCCCAGGAGACTGGGATGAGGGGCTGGGCTCTGTGAGAGCAGCTCCTGGGGAGCAGCCTGAGCTGGGCATGGGGTGGGTGAAGCCTGCCCGCATGGCTCTCCTGCCTCTGTATGCCCCTTTCTGTGGGGGACGGAGCAGGTGGTGTGGGCGGTTGGATGTAGGTGGGACTTGTGCTTCTGGGACGCCAAGATCTGGTGTGTGCCCCAGAGCAGGGGCGTTTGCTGAGTCCCTGCTTGGGGGGACCCCATCCCTGTAGGGGAGCAGCCCATGTGTGTGCCAGTGACCTGTAGTGCTGGAGGTCTCGGATGTCGAGGGTCTCCAGAGCACACAGAGCCTCTGCTCCCGCCCAAGGCAAAGGGTAGTGGAGCTCCTGAGAGCTACCCTGGCTCTGCAGGAGCAGCGGAGCCACCTGGAAGGTGGTGTGGTGGGATATAGCCGTGGGAAGGGGGGGTGCAGAGCCTCCAGGCTCGCGCTGGTGAAATCCTCCCTCCTCAAAGCTCCTGCCATGACTTGGGGCTGGTGACGAAGGACAAGCTGCTGGAGGGCAGGGCTGGGGCAGGCTGGAGGCAGCCCTGAGCTGACCTTGCCAGGAGCATGTGAGCGTCTGTGGCTGCTCAGCCGCTCCCCTAGGTGAGTGGGCAGCTTCCCCGGACGGAGGAACTTGCGGCAGCATGATGGTGGCCAGTGTCTGAGCTGGCCATGAGGGCCCCTCTGGGGTCAGGGAGCAGCTGGTGGCACTGCTGGCTTGGCTGCCCTGCATGGAGGTTTCTGCCCCGCTGCTGGCACCGAAACCCCTTGGGCTGGAGAAGGGGGCAGCTGCGACACCGCAGCCACGGATGTGCTGGTGGTGGGGTGTGTTTCAGGGTAGTCACCCATCTGGCTGCCCCAAGCGTACGGTGGCAATGCCCCAAGCTGCCCCTGGTGGCCACAAAGTCTTGTTTTGGTACGGCAAAAACTTGCAGAGGGGAGAAATAGCTGTGCCAGGACCTTCCCGAAATCGCAGATCTCTGCCTGCCTGGGAGATGACATTGTCTTTCTTCTCCCAGCTCGGTGGCGGGACCCTCCTGGGAGTTGGCATCTGGGTCACAGTGGATGAAAAGTCATTCCTGGATATATTTGGGACGCTCTCCTCTAGCATCCTGCAGGTTGTGAATGTGAGCTACTTCCTCATCGTCATCGGTTCCATCCTGCTGGTGATCGGCTTCCTTGGGTGCTACGGTGCCCAGAAGGAGAGCAAATGTCTCCTGATGATGGTATGGACCTGACACCTCCTTATCAAGCCTCGTTTGAGCTAGGTCTCTGGTGGGGGAGATCTGAGGGACAGATTTCTCTGTGGAGGTGTGCTCCTTGGATGTTCCCATGTGGTGGAAGGCTGGGTGAACCTCGGAAAGCCAATGCTGGACCCAAAGTCTGCTGTGGGGAAGGGTGAAAGGGAGCAGAAGCTGGTGCTGAGCAGAGGTCTCTCTTGGAGTATGTCCGGAGAGGTCAGCTCCATGCAGACAGAGGGTTGGAGGACCCCAAGGTTGTGCTGCTTCTGCCTTGGAGCAGAGCTGAAGGCAATGAGACAGGGCTTGAGCCCTGAGGTAGGGTCCTGCGGCCCTTGGGAAGCAGATGGGTTCCTGGGGGCTCTGTGGACTCTGGCTGTTTCTTTGACCTCCTTCCCCTTGATGTATCCTAGTTCTTCTCGGTGGTGCTGATCATCTTTATTGCCGAAGTTGCTGCTGCTGTGGTGGCTCTGGTCTACACAGGTCTTGTGAGTGGCATATCTGAGTCTTGGGTTCCCGCCCCACCCCGAGACTTTGGGGGACTGGCAGTGCTGCCCATGGATGGGGAAGTTGAGAGGTGGGCACTGCTGCAGGAAGAAGGGATGCTGGTCCCTACTGGCGCCAGCTACATGGGCAGGCTGGGGTGGCCTGGATGGGTTGAAGTTGATGGGAACAGGTATCCCTATTGCCCTAAAGAAATGGGAGTTTGGTACAAGTTTCACCCACTTTCTTTCAAACCCCTGACTCCAATACCAGCTGAGGCTTGACACCTCTCCACCTCTGATGGTAGGAGCCACTTGGGAGAGGAAGTCCCTAATGCTTCATGCTGAGCAAACTCAACCCCTTATTAGACACCTGAGAAACCACCTGAGGAGAAAGGTGACTGCTCCCACGCTCGTGCACTTTGCCTCATTAGGCACAGAAGTCAACCGCAGGGCAAGCGTCATTCCTGGCTCCCTCAGTTACACTGCTTATCAGATGACTCACTGGTTATAAATGGCCTTGGTGCCATAAAGTGTTGTTTAGTGGGGAAGGGGGCAAGCTGTCCTTGGGCCAAAGAGACAAGGTGTGATGTGCTCCTGGCCATGCTGGGTCTGGTTGGCCTCCTCCCCATGGGCTGAGACCAGTATAGGGGCTCTTGGCTCTGTCGTGCTACCCAGGACCTTCTCTGATGGTGTTTCTCTGCCTCTTCTTCCAGGCAGAGATGCTACTGACAAGTGTGGTGACCCCTCTCCTGAAGGAGAAGTATGGGGAGGATGACAGTCTCACACACATCTGGAATGTCACCATGGAGGAGGTGCGCTGAGCCCTGTGGCCCCCATCTGTGGGTCTGGATGCTCCCGGCACAGGCCTCATGGTGCACACCTGAGTGGGCCAGCAGGATGGGGATGGGGACATCATCGTGGTCTTGGATGTGCAGAGCTATCGCCACCCCATTTGCTTCCCAGGTGCCTGGGACCTACGCACTTGGGATCTAGAGGTCCTGTTGCTGGGGTGACAGCTGTACATGCTGGAGTGTGGGACAAAATCCTGGTCCATGAGTATCCCCCCAGAGCTGGGTTGAGCTGGGTGACCCCTCCATGGGGCAGAGGGGTCCAGACCATGTCTGACCTAGGAGGGAGACCTGCAGGATGCTCTCCCCATCCCTTCCTCTCTCTCCCTCTTAGGTCCATTGCTGTGGCCTGAATAACTACACGGACTTCACCAACTCCACCTGGTATGAGAAATACAGAGTCTACCCAGAGCCCTGCTGTAAGGGCATGCATCCCTGCAACGACACGCTCGCGGCACAGGAGGAGGTCCAGGTACGGATGCAGCAGTGGCTCTCACCTTCTGGCAGAGCCTGGTTTGGGGTGTGCCCTGGCATGGGGAGGGAGACCTGGTCTGTAGCTCCAGCCCCAGCTCTGGGCATGGCAGTCCCGTGGGCTTTAAGTCCTGGGGGATCTTGTGGTGGCCTTGGCTTGTCGTTGGTGGAGACAAGCAAAGCTGCTACCTCTGCTCCAGTCCTAAGGGAGCCTCTGCAGCAGGGTGGCATGCCTGGAGCTGAGCAAGAACCCAGGCACCACGCTGCCTTTTTGGGTGATTTCCTTGCCTCTTCTCCTCCCCCTTCCCCCTCCCTCCCTCCAATACTGTGCTTTGGCCTGAGATGTGGTTGAGATGAGTTGCCCCTTGAAACCGCAGACCTTCTTTTCCATGGGCTGGAGAACTGTACCTCCCTTTCTGGGGATGCTGTTCCCCAGCGGTTAGGGGATCGCTAGCCCTTGCTCATCCTTACCTGTGTGGTTGCTTCCTGCAGGGTTGTTTTGATAAGATTTTGGAAGAAATCAGGACTAACGCAGGTGTGGTGGGTGGCGTTGCAGCCGGCATCGCTGCCTTGGAGGTGAGTGCCTGAGCATCGCTGTGCTGCCTCCTCCTTGTACCTGGAGGTGAGCAGTGGGGCTGGGACCAGCCTGGGTGGCCGAGGGGCTGCTGGGGGCTGGTGCAGACCACCATCTACCCCAGGGAGGCAACTGAGCCTTCTTCCCTGGGCACACCCAGCTCTTCCTCCTGGCATGTGCTGGGGATGGATGCTGTGGGCTGTGACCCAGACCTGTGCTGGGGGGGACATTTAGGGGGGCTGACTTGCCTCTTGCCACCCCCAGATTGCGGCCATGGCAGTTTCCATGTACCTGTACTGTCATCTGGATCAGAAATGACCCCACGAGGCAGGAGGATGATCTGCCACCACACCACCCCCCCCGCCATGCCGGGGTACGCCTGTGGTGTGCCGTGCTCTTGGGGGGGGACCCCGTTGCTCCCCAGGCCTGATGCTGTCCTGTTCACTGTGATTTATAGTTGTGTTTGATCTACTGAGCTGGGATCTGTAGAGTTTATGTGTATATTTTTGTACTGATATGTCACGCCTGAGTCTGTACATAGATTTGGGGTTTGTCTGGGGGTTTTTTGGGTTTGGTGGTTGTTTTTTTTTTTTTTTTGAAGGGGGTACAGGGGGAAGCTGCTTGGCCTGTTTGGGAGATAAAGTGGTACAGGGGCCCATCAGGGCTGCTGATCAGGCAGTGGCACAGCGATGTCTTGATGTCTTGATTAAACCCTCGCAGGCATGTACTGAACCTTTCCCACGCCGTCCCCATGGCCTCCCTGTGCGTGGGCTGGCACTGGGGCTGTCCATGACCCCCCGCATCACTCCATTAAACTCGCGCTGCTGCCCAGCCGAGGTGTTGTAGGTGGTAACTACCCTCAAATGGGGATGTACCTACCCCTACACCCATCCTTTGCCAGCCCTGACCCCGTCACGGTGTTGTCCCCTAAAAGAGGTGCTGGCTAGTTTCTGCCCTGCCCCGCCATGAAGCACAGCCCTGAGGACCCTGTACCTGCCCTGTACCCCTTGTCATTTCATGGCTGAGCCCCTCTCCATGCTGTGAAGAAAAACAAATAAATTTTTCATCTTGGATACAAATTATTTTCTGGAGTCTGTCTCGGTGCTGCCTTCAATCACTAGTCTCTCCCTGGGGAAGCGCAGCAGGGTGGGGGGCTGCCTTGCCTTCCCCTGTGCCCCATGAGCCCTACGTATCCTGCCTGCAGCCTGCCTGCCCTCCCTCCGCTGCGGCTCCTCACCTGCTCCCGTGCTTGGAAACAAGCAGCCTGGTGTTTTCACAACAGCCGGGGAGTGGCAGGGGCTACTATCTGCCTTGCAAACCCTCCCTGCCCTCCGCACCAGCTGCCCCTCGCCCGGCAATGCCGGTTCACGGACTGAGCAACAGCCTGGCTTGAAAGGCAGGGCTGGCTCTGGGGGGGGCTGTACTGGTGTCCCCATCAGCCCCGGGAACCCCAAATAGGGTGTTTAGGGTGGGGAGGGGGTCCTGCCGGCCCCATCTCCAAGCATCTCCATCCCCTAGCATGGTCCCACACCACCTGTGTGATGCACCTACGGTCCCTCAATGTCTGGGGATGGGGGTGGGGGGGGTCGCGGGGGGGGCAC